GCTGACTTGTTTGGGTTTTTTTTCCTTTCAAGGCTGGATCAGTGGAACCAGTGGTGTCTTGCACTGGTGAACTGGTGAACTGTGCTGGGAGTTCGGTTCTTTGCTGCAGTAATGCCAGAGACAGAAAGCGTAATAAAAGGCACTTAGAATTTTTGATGAATGTGTTACCTAATCCCAGGATTTCTCATACCATAGCTGCTGCTTTGGAGCTGGTTTACTTCACTTGGAGTCACCTTCTGCTTGTGAAATCTTGCACTGCATCATCGCTTTGCAAAATCCCCGAAGCTAACAGCCCTGTCCTTCCCTGTGGCACCTTAAACACAGGCAGCAAATAGGCTGTCATCTCCTCCTTGGGAGCCCTCACTGGCACTCCTGAGGGCTTTAGGTTGCTGCAGCCTTCTGGCATGTCTGGGATGTGCCAAGAATGTGGCATTTCTTATGGCTCTTGATGGACAATTGAGGTAAATTTTAATGTGGGATAGTAGTGCTTTCTTTCATCCCTGGTATTTTATATTTGAACAGGCTTTCTACAGTTTCTTTATGTCAGTTATGCAGTTGAAATAGTTGGAATTGGAATGGCTGAAATGTAAATTATGTATCTGAAGTACTGTATTAGTATGGGAGTCTGATGACAGTCATCTCACCACATCAGTAACACAAGATCAGATGGTTTCCAGGCATTGCAGAACGTTTTACAGGTTCCTTTAAGAGACAGATTGCTTAAAGCGTTGCTCATTTTTAATGTGAAAATATTTGGCCTTGATTACTGACCATTGTGCATTTCACTTCATGACTCATGTAATTTAAAGGTAGTGTTCTATAGCAATTACTTAACCAGGAGATAAATCAAATGGGGAAAAGCCTTTGAATCCTTACTTTCTACCTCTCAGCCATTTCCTAAGACAGCATATTTAAAAATAGCTTCTGTTATTGGCAATCTGCCTGCAGCCCCTGGAGCCTCGATGGGGGTGTGAATCTGACAACATGATGAATGTTTTGTTGATTACCTTTAGAGTTCATCCAGCTAGAAGCTGCTATTTGCAGGACCCTCCTTGCCATCAGTGCTTTAATTTTTTGGTGTGCTGGCAGGGTTTTAGGCACTTTTAATTCATCAGTTCATGCTAATTCTTGAGGGACACGGATGGAGCCTGGTGCCCCCGTTCCAGCGTTAGCTGTGCTGTTGGAGCTGAAGCTCTCTGGGAGCACTGTGGTGTTCAGCTGCACACACACGTTGGGGCACTCGGTGTCAACAGCCAGGGAGTGCCAGCAAGAGGAGCAGGGAGTTCAGTCCCTGCCGTGGTGCCTAGAGCAGCCCAGAGCGCTGCAGAAACCTCCTGTTCCTCAGCAGTGTCCACAGCGAGAGGCTCAGGTTCTCACCTGTGGCCGTGGCTCAAGGAGGCTGCTGAATCCACAGAGAGTTCCCGGACAGCCTGGTCTCCACATGGAATCATCGCAGTCCAGACACAGAGAATTCTCAGATAGAGAGAATTCTCGTCTTGCTTAGAGGCACAAAACGTCAGCTTTTGACCCATAAACCATAGGGATGCTTCCTTTTAAAATCAGAGTGTATACAGAAGGCAGCCTAGCCAGGGGCTGCGACGAGGCTGGAGAGGGACTTTGGACAAGGGCCTGGATTGACAGGGCAAGGCTGGGAATGGCTTCCCATGGACAGGGGGCAGGTTAGATGGGATATTAGGAAGGAATTGCTCCCTGTGAGGTGCTGAGGCTCTGGCACAGGGTGCCCAGAGCAGCTGTGGCTGCTCCATCCCTGGAGTGTTCCAGGCCAGGCTGGATGGGGCTGGAGCAGCCTGGGCTGGGGGGAGGTGTCCCTGCCCAGGGCAGGGGGTTGGAAAACCCACACCATTCCTCAATTCTATGATAACAGCAGTGATCAAGCGTTTATCATTGTCGGCATGATCAGATGAGGTTTTTAACATTGCATGGCAGCTCAACTAGAAAAGGCACAGACAGGAATGAATGCATCCATGCAGCAGAGTACACATTGCCTGGTTAACAGGTGTGTGATAACTTCAGTGTTAAGTGAATGTTTCTGGGTTTGTTGTGCCAGGTTGCTGGGAACTAGTTTTTGGTGCCCATCCAGTAATAAGGAGTAAGATGTTAATTAATCTAGTATAGCTTATAGCAATATCTTAGAGCACACAGTATTCCACTGTATTTGCTCTTCATCTCAATGAGGAACTTAGTAAAAGAATAGATGTTCATTTTCCTAACTGAAAATAGCTCAGAATCAGACATGAAAGGGCAGATGATTAAATCTTTCCCTTGGGTTAAAAAGCTAATAAAGGCATGGAGTGTGTGTGTCTTGGTGGGGCTGAACCGACAAAGCTGATTTTGCTAAGTTAATTGTTCTGTGCCTCGGGTTTAGTTTCTGTTTCAACACTTACTTTGAGTCTGCCTGATAGGAAGTTAATCATGGCATCTGTATGCCAGAGGTCTGGGATTTCCACACGTTTTCAGGATTTGAATATGGATGGGAAACCATTTGCTGCTTCTGTTTGTAAGAAAAAATGAGGTTGTTGTAATCTAGTTAGTGGCAATCACATAATCCCATGAGAAACTGAATGGAGAGGGAGGCATTGACATTTTGCCCAGAACTCTGTTCAGCTCTGGAGTTTTGGTTAAAGGACAAAGTTTTGTAGGGAAGTTCAGCCTCTTGGCAGAGCAAGTCTGTATGTTTATTGGCAAAGTCATGCTTAAGATCCAGATTTAGCAGCTGAGACCTTGTCACGTCAGATTTCAGTGGATGTTAGTTTCAAGGGGCCTTGATTCCCTACTCTCTAGCACAACTTTGTGTAGTAATTGGAAGGAGCTAATGGGAAAGTTGGCAAGCAGTAACATCAGCCAGTGAGAAAGGACTTGGGGGTTGATCTCTCTGTTCTCCTGACTATAAAGAAGAGACAAGATCAGGCATAAGGCCTTGGGAGCTCCTAAAAATTGCTATTTAAAGGCTAAGCAGCTATTTAAAGGCTTTCCACACTGATCCCCAGCTTTAAATAGCTGCTTGTTCATTATCCGGGAGCAGTGTGACCACCTGAATTGTAGCAATTAGCCAAGCCCCACAGAGAAAGCAGCAGAAACCTCCCTAAGAAATTGAACTTGTATAAAATTGTGTAGAATTTGCCTGAGTACATTTTCAGAACCTCCTGAGTAGTTTCAAAAAGCCCTTTTCTTGCTGGTTTGATAGTGGGTTTTTTCCCCAAAAGACAGTTAAAGTATCAAATGTCATTGTTTTGCTCTTTTCCTCATTCTCCCAGCTGAAGGGAGAAGTGGTTTGGGGCCTCAGCAATCTCATTGATGAGGTTTTGTTGAACTCCAGGGGTCTCTAAAATTTGGCTTTGTTGAAAAAATGTTTCTTCAGACTTAACATGTACAAGGAGGAATGCTGAGACCTGCTTTACCTAGTAATGAGGTTTAATCTCTTTCAAAAAGAGACGTTTAAGGAATGAATTCTTGTTCGTGGTGCGTGTTGTGTTTGCCTGGCAATCTTTCACTAAGGCAGAGGCCAAGTGCTGAAGAGGGGACACAGCATCCTCCTGTGTGGCAGCACAATCTCTGTGAGCAGTGACAGGTCCTGATGGAGCTGTGTCAGGGGAGATTTAGGCAAAGGCTCTTCCCCCAGAGGTGTTTGGGCACTGAACAGGGTTAGGTTGGATATCAGGACAAGGTTCTTCCCCCAGAGGTGTTTGGGCACTGAACAGGGTTAGGTTGGATATCAGGACAAGGTTCTTCCCCCAGAGGTGTTTGGGCACTGAACAGGGTTAGGTTGGATATCAGGACAAGGTTCTTCCCCCAGAGGTGTTTGGGCACTGAACAGGGTTAGGTTGGAGATCAGGACAAGGTTCTTCCCCCAGAGGTGTTTGGGCACTGAACAGCTCCCAGGGCAGTGTCACAGCCCCAAGGTGACAGAGCTCAGGAGTGTTTGGCCAGTGCTCTCAGCACAGGGTGATTGTTGGGGTGTCTGGGCAGGGGTTGCACTGATGGTCCTTGTGGGTCCTTCCAGCTCAGGATATTCCCTGATTCTGTGCTGGGTGGTGTTTTACCACCCTCTGTAATGTGGGTGCTCTACCACAGCAGAGCAGGTGGCTTTTCATGATCACAACCATATAAATACTTCCCATGCTGTCTTGGGAAGCACCTGAGCAATGTTTTAGAGAAGTCTGTAAAGAACTAGATAAGCCTTAGCCAAATTTGACAGGAAAAAAAACCCTCATTGGACAGAAAAAACCTTGTTGTGCAGAAAAATCCTGCATGCTTTAAGCGGTTGGAAAGGCAGGTTTGCAGGGCTGCCAGGAGTGGCTGTTGTTAGACACATCCGATGAGTTTTGTCACTGTACTTTTCTGTCACTGACAATTCCCGTCAGCTGGAGTTGCCATATCTCTGTTTCCAGGTGGTGCTCTGTGCTGCTCTTATTCAAATACT